TTCTGGTTTCAGGGCTCTATCTCGATCAATGTTCAAATCTGCATCGCAACAGCAGAAGTTTGCTACTAAGAACCGAGTGCTTGACTTCTGCTCTACATACGACCACGAAACAGTGTGGAAGCAAACGAGGAAGGCCGGAAACACGTCGCTCTATACAAATTTTGTGGACTACGAACAGTGGAGAGATTCTTCGCATTCTTCCACAATAATATGTACAGGCAAGCTGGGATCTGGTAAATCCGTACTCCTGGCAAATATTGTAGACGACCTCAACATCTCAACTGAGAAAGAACGACCACTGATAACGTACTTCTTCTGCAGACACGATATTCCAGAAAGTCTGCAAGCACGCGTAGTTCTGGGTTCGCTAGCGCGGCAGTTGCTACGGACCGTCGATGATCTTGACATACTCTCGGAAATCTGCGGAGATACTCACACTACCGGTGACACCGACAAGATACTAGGACTCATCCTACAAGGCTACCCCCCTAATCACAAAGCGTTCTTTGTCATAGATGGGCTAGACGAATGCGACGACGAAGAGAGAAGGGTGCTGGTGCAAGCAATGGGGTCGATCCAAGAGAACCTCAACGTCCTGATTTGTGCTTCGTTTCGCGAGGAGCCAAACAACGGTCTGCAGTCAATTACGCATCACCTCTTGTCCACTCGCATCGTTCCGTTGCCAGAGAAGAACCCCGATATTGACGCCTTCATTGAAGCCGATTTGCATCGTTGTTTGGACCAAGAACTGCTGACAATTGGAGATGCTACTCTGATCATCGAAATACAGGATGCGCTCATAGCTGGTTCACAAGGAATGTTTCTTTGGGCGGCTCTTCAGATCCGGTCTTTGTGTAGTATGAAGACCGACCACGATATCCGTGAAGCATTGACGGATCTACCTAAGAATATCTCACAGACGTTTGCACGGATATTGTGGAAGTCGGGGAGTCTTGACCGACCCCTTCAAGCAAAGACGCTACAGCTGGTACTGGCAGCGTGTCGGCCATTGACCACTAGCGAGTTAAGAGAAGCCCTGAGTGTTACTCCTGGCGACACAACCTGGGATCCGTCCAAACTGTTGAACGATGTTCATTCAGCGCTAGCTTGCTGTGGGTGTCTTCTAACAGTCGACGAGGAAGAGTCAACTGTCCGAGTTGTACACCACAGCGTCAAGCAATATTTCTTGCACGGCCTTGACGATGCGAGACATATTGGGTTCACTGTCGATGACGCACGGATAAGGATGGCAGATATTGTCATCACTTATCTTGCGTACGGTGTCTTCGAAACCCAGATGACCAAGACCGCAATACGTCCTATCATGGCACATTCAGCACCTTCGAAGATCTTGCAAAGCACCATGGGGTCTTCGGGTACTACTCGTCAACTCGCAATGAAGCTTCTCGGATCTAGAAAGCAACCTACATTCGATCTGAGCAAGATTCTCGCAGAAGCGCGTGGCTCTCTGAACCCTAGGCCAGAACACGTGTTTACGTTCTACGCTTATGCAAACAAACACTGGCAAGATCATATTTGGGACGTCTCAGGGAGAAACCATCGTATTTACCAGCTCTCTAGCAATCTCATCCAAGCTCGACGCTCGGAAATAAGAGATGTGGATAAGGACTTCGGCAGTCGTTGTCGCTGGGCTGCTAAGCACGGGAGTTTGAAACTTCTTGAGCTAATATATCAGAAGAGTAAAGAGCTCGCAGTTGATAGCGAAGACCCAACATATGATATAGATACGCCACTGGCTTGGGCGATAGATCATGGAGACAAGGACATTGTTAAAATACTGCTTGAAGCCGGCGTTGATGTCAACAAGAGAGTCAAAGTTTGGCATCAACGTGCGAAACCTGTAGTGATGAGACGGTTAGAAGAGCTATCGCCACTTATTCTAGCGGTAAGGAAGGAAGACAAAGATATTGTTGAGCTGCTTCTGGAGATGGACAAACTTGACGTCAATGCGATAGACCGTGAATACCGCACGGCGTTTACATGGGCCCTGGAGAAGAGAAACATGGATATCATCAGACTACTCTTCAAGGACGAGAGAACCGACATTGATAGAGAGCGCCCGGGGGAGTGGGCGCCATTGTTGGCAGCGGCATCGCAAAGAGACAAAGACTTACTTCAAGTACTGCTTTTCACGGACCGGTTTGATGTCAACTCAAAGATCAAGATCAGAGAGTCGACATTGATGCTGGCCGCGTCTGAGGGGCATCAAGAGATAGTTGAGCTACTAATTGCTGGTGGCAAACTTGATCTCAATGCGATCAATGATCGGGGAGAATCAGCGTTGATGGTGGCGGCATCCGAAGGCCACGAAGGCATAGTTGAGCTACTGCTTGCTACCGGTAAAATCGATATACACACAAGGGGCGAGGATGGAAAGACAGCATTGAGCATGGCCTTGTCACAAAAACACAAATACGTGGTTGAAATGTTACAGTCATACTCACTCCGTATTGCCGCTGATTCTCTAGTAGGCGCGAATAAAACCGACACACCTGATGAGACAACTTAGTTGGAGTAATGCAGTATGGAGTCGAAACTAGTCATATCATGTGCTATGTACTCTCTCTATATATCCTGGCTTGCTTGTTTCTTTATCATGCATCCTGGTGATGGTGACAATGCTGATGATGATTGACGCCGCGATCGCGGCGAGGATGATAGTGTTGTCTGAAAGCATGCTGAAGATGTAGATAGCTCGTGAAGTGGTATGACGATTGAATGTAGTGTACTATAGAAGTGAGGCAGGTGACAGCGCAAGGGTTGAAGGTTGCAACGTTCGATATGCACCGAGCTAAGCAAACGGACAGTGAGCAAACACTCACATCCCACACCTCTTCATTTGGAGTTCGTGACACGCCAGAGGTTGTCTACAGACAAGGGAACAGTGGATAGGTGACAAGGCGTGAACACTAGCAGCACTATGTACACGCGGGACAGATCATTTCGGATACTTAGGTATGCTTAGTGGTCAAATTACTTCCTGTATCGGCTGGATGTGCAAGTGTATCCAGACAATGCCATATAACCATGACTCTGTCGCCATGACGGCCCAGGTTCCTTTGCCGTACTATACATACACATGGGTGTTCGAGCTCTTCCGCAGTGTTCGTGAGGACATGGTATTGCATTTGCCCTATGGCGCAAGACGCTAACATGGACAGAGCCCGGCACACCGAAGCCAAAGAGTCAGTGAAGAAGCCATGATGCCATTCCATTCATTCCATTTTCCGTAGGTATGTTTATCGGAAGAGAGTAAAAGAACACCGAGTCATCCCGAAAAACCAGCCATAACCCAGACTATGCACGCCATATCGAACCCAGCTTAACGAGTCCTTGCCTGCACCTTTGGTGCGGCACCCTTGGCACCCTGCTTGCTGACCTTGGCGGCGTTGCCTCGTGCGGATGCGGCGGCGTTCTTGGCCTTCTCAGCCTTCTTTGCTGACTCGGCGGCGGCCTTCTTCTCCTTGCCCTCCTTGACGGCGGCGGCGCGGGCAGCGGAACGAGCCTCGGGACGTTGGCTGCGGCGCTCCTTGATCACGTCAAGCGAAGCACCGACGATGGCACGCTGGTGCTTGACTGTGCGGCGGGTACGCTTCTTGGCGACTTCCTGTTGGGTGGAGGTGGTTAGCGAGTGCGCCTCGAGGTAATGGAATTGAGAGGACACAGCCGCTGAGAATGCGTTTGTTTGTCAAGCCTGTCCGCAGTGTAGACTGATGTCATAGTCTGCTTCCTCTCCAAACATTCCCAGCAGCGCGTGTCGTGTGTATGAATTGCAGCGACTAACCTCAGAGATACCCTTCTTGTGCGCCCTTCGGTAGAGAGTGGTCCAGTGAATCTTGCGAGGGTTCTTGCGCTGGAGGAAAAGGGACTCGGTCTTTCCGTTCTGGAAGCGGAAGATCTTGCTGTCACCACGGATGTAGAGCTTGCCCTGTTGATGCCATCAGCAAATGTCCGACCGATTGTCATGTTCCATCATCCTCCGCCTTGTTGCCGTCGCGATGGCGGGATTTCGACATCTGGGTGGCGGGCGCCGTGACGTGGAGGGGCAATGTAACGCACCTTGCCCGGGTAGATCTTTTGACCGCTGAAGGAATCGTCGTAGGTACGCATGTTGGCGGTGTTGGCGTGATACCTGTGTGTTAGTCGTGGGGTTGTCGTCGGTCGCGAATTCAATATTGCAACTCCGTGTTGAGACCTGTGGGCGGGCTAAGCCCGAGCAAGCTAGCCTCTTGGCGTTTGGCGCGGTGGCTGGTGGCTGGTGCGCGACATCGAGATGGCCTGCACCCACGCGAACACCACAAGTACTTTCATTAGTTTCTCTATTTCTACCCTCGTACCGAGGAAGCCTACAGTATCTGGACAAGCTCGGTCGCTGTGCTAGCTCATCGCTCCTATGTCATGCTAGTACCTCAGTATTCCAGATGATATTCATGCATCTCTATACCGATGTTTTTCGATCAACACAATCAACGTACGCGTCCTGCTGATACCCTAGGAGCGATGCAAACGAAAACATCGCCACCTTATACATGAGTATGGTGTTGAGTGGCAAGGAATCAGACGTGGCTGGCGCAAGGCAGCAGCAACCCCGCTACGACACCGCTGATACAAAAGGCACAAGTGAATCACCTCGCCAAGAACCTGTGGCACTAACTGACCGACAACTACCTTCACTTGTCATGTGAGGCCCGAAGCAATCATATTTTACAGCTCAGTCTTATGCCAGTCAACACTCCAAGAGAAATATACATCCATCGTAACCACTGGTATCGTCTTGCGAGACTCAACTTGTCATGGATTTCTCTGCACGTAGAGTAGCTGTCACGGCCGCTACTAATCATCTGCAGTTACGAGAAGACAACAATTTAAACCTCAATTCCGGCAGCCTTCATGTCATCACTACGTCCACACCCCAGCGTGTGTCAGGAGATACAGCCACGACTAGCTCTGACCTACACAACCAAGACCTGGTTGACGTCATGGCGGAGCTTGAACGATATCAAGTCGACCGTCGAGCAGCTTTCGCCTTTGGGATGGCCCAACGCGGACGTGTTCATCCCTTGAATGAGGACGAACTAAAGCACTTTCGCAAAGAAAAAGACGGTGTATTCGGCCCATCCCCATGGGATACACCAAATCTGTCTACAGAGTTACCATTCACCTTTGGCTCGCTTCCTAGCCCCGCGTCGGTAGAGAATGCGATCAAGAACGATATTGGAGGCGAAAATCACTTTCGTTTTGCACCCTCACGCGGCTCACCAGGCGAAGACGCGACTGCCATCATGCACTTGCTTGACAATATCCAAACGCCGACATACTCTGACCCTGGTGCTGTCGTACACATGCAGTCACCTACCTTCAACCGGGCATGGCGCTGGATGCCGGGATGGGAAAGTGAAGGTATGCTAGGTCAATCAGACTTCCTCTTGACGGTCGCTCCTGCAGGTGAGGTTTTCGAGCTGGAATATCATGACCATCATTTCTCCACAACGCTCTTGACCGGTTCGAAGGTATGGCTTACGTTTCCTCCGTTACAGGCAAACCTAGACGTCCTCCGCAAAGCATATGGGGAGATGCATGCTGCTAACACCTCGCGTGTTGCTCTGGGCATCCTCGCAGAACTGCAACATGGTATTTTCATCATCCAGAAGCCAGGTCAAACTCTTCTTTTTCCACCATTCTGGTCTCACATGATATTCGATACAGCGACCTCCGTATCATCCGGCTTCTTCATAGCTACAGCCGCGCAATACGTATACCGTATAAGGAACATGGACCTTTGGCTGTCTCTCAATCTCTTCTGGGATTCAGCGGAAGAGCAACAGAATCATCTCGAGAACTATGCTGCAGAACTTGCAACTCACTTCTCAACCATCATGACAGGCAACTTCAAGCGCTTCAAAGTCGCTAATGTACAGAACGCCATCTGCAGAGAATGGGTCAAGACTGCACAAAAGAAAGAAACGGACTTTGAGAATATGAAAGAAAAGATTGGTGGGCTGCTGGAGTTAATTGACGATGAAGGGGAAAGAGAGAAGATTGACGAAATGTTTCGAGTTGTGTGGATTGAGTTTGTACAGCTGAAGCGTAAGAAGAAACCAGAATGCCGACTCTGCCATGTGCGCATCGAGCACATGCCTGCAGGAGAAACGCCAGATGACCGGCTGGCCCGGCACGTCACCGACGTGCATTGCAATTTCTGAGCTTTGATTTGAGATACTCATACCACATATAGCTCACAATGCACTACTTTCGCGCGTCCCGATTTTGACACCTCGTTCCCGCCGATAGTCCCAAGCAGACACCAGAGAACACAAATACCAGCAGCCCGTCCCACCTCACGCCACCACCGTTCACTATGACTATGCTGTAGAGCCCCACGTCGCACAGTGCGAGTCAAGTTATCGCAGCCCGCACAACCACGGCGAAGGGACAGGAGCATCGGATCGGTCCCTAGCATCCGACGCTAAAACGTCCGGCCCGGTCGCCATGCTCAACCACCATGCCCAAACGAGCCTAACGAGCGGAAACGACCCACCACTTGAGAGCATGTCCCCGCACACTACACCCTGAAATCTTTTGTCTCCGGTGAACTAGACCGCCGCGACCACGCAACACTGGGATGCACCATTGTTAGCAATCAATCCAAGCAAGCGGAAGAGAGATTTTTTCATAAAATCTGGAAGCCAGCCATGGGAGGCCTGATCCGAGACCGAGGTCCGGGGCGTACCTGCAGACGAAAGACGGCAGGAGTGGAGTAGAGAGGTTTCTGGTCGGAGAAGACGACCAAATCGGATAGAGTACGTATACGTACCTAGTATAAGTAGTGAAGGACACGACGGGACGGCAGAGCAAGTTCGAGAGAGAAGAAAAGAACGGGAAATTTCAAATCTCCAACCATTGTCCACGTCTCCCCTTACCCACATCTTCCACCACGTTAGCAGAAGAATAAACTGCAAGTTGCCGACTATAGACAAAGCCCTGTCCTTAACAACCCTCCCACCTCTTCCATTCAAAAAATGCGTTTCCTCACCACCATCCTGAGTACTACTCTAAGTCTCCTCACACTCAGCTCCGCCGCCGCCACCATGAACACGACAAACGGACTCGGCACGACGCCCGCCCAGCGACACATCATCTCCGCCGCGCAAGCCCAAACCATCATCACAGGCGCCACCGCCAACGCAACAGCGCTCCAAATACCCGAAAACATCGCCATAGTCGACCCTTCGGGCCTGCTCGTCGCCTTCCACCGCATGGACAACGCGTTCCTGGGCTCCATTGACATTAGCCAGAAGAAGGCGAGGACGGCAGTCTTGTTCAATGGCGTGTATGCGAGTGCGGATTTGTATGCGGCGGTGCAGCCTGGTGCGCCGCTGTATGATGTGCAGAATACGAATGGCGGGTTGATTGCTTTTGGGGGTGGAGTGCCCATTTACATTGATGGTATCTTGATTGGGGGTGTGGGTGTTAGTGGAGGTAGTGTGGAGCAGGATTTGAGTGTTGCGAATGCTGGCGTGGAGGCGCTAGGTGCGACCACGAAGGCGTAGGTTGATACGACGATATATATAGCGGAAATCAATTTGGACTGTTAAAAGACTATCGTTCTATAATCTAGTATCTGGAGTTATGGTTATGATGTGACGACAATCTCACCGTGTTTAGCTTTCAAGTCTACTACCCTTTACCCCTTCTGCCGCTTAGCTCCTCGTTCCAACGGACGAAATCCTCCTCCAAGTCGCTCGATAGCTCCTTCCTTTCGTACCTCCTCTGCAAACATAAATCTAATAGCTACGCATTAGCACTGCTAGGTTCTACAGATAGTTACCTCAAGTGCTCATACGTCTGGCTCCTCTCCATGCCCTCTATCGCATCTCTAGCATCAATCTTGGTCTGCTCACTGACGCCCTCCATATCTGCAATCGCTGCAAAACGTTCTTTCCAGAATGCCCATCTCTCCTTGCTGAACTCAGATTTTCCCTTCCAGAGTTCGCCGCCGCGGCCTGGGTTGCCTTGCTTGCGATCCGAGGGTGTGAGGTCTTTCTCCATGCGGAAGAGGTCGTGGCCGTAGCCTAGTATCCAGGCTGCAGCCGCAGGAACGTTGGCATCGTACTTTTGGTTGGCGGTTGACATTGGATCGTCGATAGCAGGCGTCTCGAGTGCTTCTCGTAGTACGAAGAGAGCGTACATGGAGAGGTCATGGATGTGTTTGCCTGCCACTAGGGCGAAGAAAAAGTTCATATTCGCCCAGGCTTCGATTTCTCGGTCGATATAGCCGTCATGTGCTACTGGAGAGTCGTTGAGAGCCTCGCGGCAGGCCATACTGAAGTCGGTCATCTCCTGGTAGAGGTAGTTGTATTGCTCATTGCCCGGTATGGAATGCTCCTTGAACGCGCTGACCAAGTCGATCAACATGTTGTGGTTTACCTGTGGGCCATTACGGAAAGTCAACCGCTTTGCTGAATGAATGATGCTTTTCCAAAGGTCCATGAAGTCTACATCGTCGAGTTTGGCGTCTTTGATCTTCTCGTCGATTGGCCCAAGAATGCGCGACGTCGCTTCCTTTGCGTCGATCTGCTCGTTGAGGAATTCTTGGATCAACGGGTAGTAAGCGCTGTCCTCCTTTGGGCGGAACCATCCTCTTATCTTCGCGATCTGGTCGATCTGTTCCGCCTCGGTTTTGACCGTAGGGAGGACTTCTTTGATCTTCTGGTTTTGTTCCTAGAAAAGAGTATTAGATACGAGCATATGAAGTCATGGTGAGCAAATACCGCTATGCGAGCCATGGTCTTGATCGGTGGATCGAAATGTGTTGATCTTGGGCGGGAGGAATGCACAAAAGGTACACGGTGTTTACTTCTGGTGATGTCATACGCGGCGGGACTGCGGTTCACCCTACTGATACCACGTGCATGCCTTGTTAAGGTAATTGGTAACTTGTGCCGGGCCAGTCGAGATACGCTATGAGACATCTCTTTCCTGAAATGGCGAAGCGTGGTCACTCTACGCTGGTAGGCTCGGAGATCCTCCGCGTAACAGGAAGGCGTTGGAAGGGCGTTGCATGATGCCAGGGCGAGCTTAGCAACCACCACGTCTTTTGTACTCGGAAAGCGACTTGAGGTGTGAAAACGATCACTGGAATTGTGTTAAGCAGCACTGGTAGAGAAGCTGATCGTCGGACCGCGTATGTGATCAGCCCGAAGCTGTCGGCAGACAAGGATCGCCAGAACACGATCCTGAAATTAGCCCTCAGTGCCTTCTACAGCCTCGCAACGTGTTCCTTGTTGCGGGCCACGTTACACAACATTGATAATGCAGACACCACAGTACACAGCAATATTACGGTTATATGGCAAGCTCGGATGCATATCTGTGTTTATCGAGATGCGGATCGGTTTTGTGTGTCGCAATCTTGTAACCCCCCGCGCATGTTGGAAAGATCACCAGAAAACGGACTTCGCCTAACTGCACACTGGCACCTTGACACATCCCGAATACATGTCTCTTACATGTGGAACCTAGACAACAACCCTATATTGTAGCCTGGATGTCCTTGCAGTATTATTTCCTCACCACACATGAACGAGTCAATGTCACTATTCTGTCTTGGTATAGGCACTACCGATAACAGCCAAGCCTCGTCTTGATGTAACGACCCCTATCCCAACTTCTATCATCGTAAAAAAAAACCCCCCCATCTTTACAACTTCGCGCCCCTCTCCCTCTCGGCGCGAGCCCTCAAGTCTTTTCTAAGGATTTTTCCCGCCGGACTTTTTGGAATGTCATCTAGAAATATGACACCCCCTCTTAACTGCTTATACCCCGCCACATTCTCCTTGACGAATTGTACAATCTCGTCTGCCCCAGTCTTCCCTCTATCCCCAACGACAACGTAAGCCCTGGGTACCTCGTTTGTGCCATCATCCGTCGGCACCCCAATGACCGCCGCATCCAATATGTCAGGATGACCAAGTAACAAAGCCTCCAACTCCGCAGGCGCGACCTAACAACATTAGTATACAAAGTCAGCTTTTTAGTCTAATTCAATAAGTAGCAGCAGCAAGTGCAAGTTCTGCAACGTCCGAAACTTCTTCCCAACAACTTACCTGCAATCCCTTATACTTGATGAGTTCCTTTTTCCGGTCCACGACGTAAAACAGACCATTCCTAAACACGGCAATGTCGCCGGTGCAGAACCAGCCATCAGATGTAAACGCGTCTTTATCCGCGTCGGCGTTTTGGTAGTAGCCTTTACATACTACAGGGCCTTTGACGAGCACCTCTCCGGGTGTTCCGGGTTCAACGTCGCGCCCACTGTCGTCGACAAGTCTCGCGCGCATATTAGGTATCAAGGGCGCCACGGAACCCGTATCATCGTGCGTGCCCGGGGGCATAATCGTCGTGGAACCCGTCGTCTCAGACAGACCCCACGTTTGGTCGATGAAGCAGTCGGGCCCACTGCCGAGTTTCTGGCTCGCGGCGTACTGGAGGTCTTTTCCTAGTGGGGCGGCGCCGCTGATGGCTAGCTCGAGTGTCGCGAATTGTGTTGTTGCGAGGGGGCTCTTGGCGATGAGTAGGTAGATGGGCGGCACGGTGAAGAAGAAGGTTATGCGGTACTGTGCGTTGTAGGCGAGGAATTGGGAAAAGTCGAATTTGGGCATCCAGTAGACGGTTCCGCCAATGTAGAAGGGGTTGATTAGGTAGCCTTGGACACCTGCAATGTGAGCGGTTGGCAAGTCTAATCGGGAATTCGAAAAGTCAGTAAAATGTTTTGCAACGGTATTTCTCTTCTACCCTCCACCTTGTTTTTCTTTTTCTTTCTTCTTCTTCAAAACACGGCCATGACTTACGAGCGATGGTCCTATACTCGAAACCCGGTCTCTTCTCCTTTATCCAGCTCTTCATCATATCCCCCGTAGTAACAGCCTGGCTCACCAGATTCCTATGACTCAACTTGACACCCTTTGGCAACCCCGTCGTCCCCGAGCTATAAATCAGCACCACCAGACTCTCTTCCAACTCTTTCCTGTCCACGATCCTCATCCACGGCAACCTGTCTTCCCGGTCGATCAAATTCTCAGTCTCTTGTGCCTTTCCATCATCATCACCAGTCCCTATGATTCTCAAACCCCATTCTCCCTCCTCACTCATAAGCAGTACCCTTCCCCCACCGCATTTCCCCCATCCAGCCTCCTCGGCAGCTCTGATGGACGTCTCCAGTGTAGCTTGGCATGTGACTAGTATCTTGCTTCCGGCACCTTGTATCTGTCTGGCCAGCTCACCCACGGTGCTACCAGCCGATGCGGCAGAGAAGATGCCCCCGGCACCAATGACGCCGTACGCCAGCACAGGCAACAAGTAATGTCCCGTGGAAATCACAGAGACTACATCTTTGCCCGCGCCGTGGGCGCCGACGCCAAAGTGTTTGCGCAGCGCGGCTGAAGTCGCTTGTGTGAGAGTGCGAGCGCGTGACTTGTCTAGCACGTCCAGGTCTGGATTGGCGGCCGAGACGTGTAGTAGTGTGTTTGCTTTGGCATAGCTGTGTTCCGAGTCTGATTTTTTTTTGAGTATCGTTAGTTCTCTAGGAGGGTGATTCGGAGTTTTATGATATGAAGGCAGTTGTTTTCTCACCGAAAAGAAGGGTCAAGACGTCGAGGTCGGGTATTGGGTAGTCTTTTGCAGCGCGGTATATAGTGCCGGTGGGTGTTTTTTCTACAACGGTCGTCATGGTACTTTTGAAGCTCTTTATTAGATGAACGAGATTGGCACAAGTACACTAGACAAGGTCCGACAGACAAAGACAGACGTGCTTGGGATAGTCGATGATATCACGACCAGCCATTGTCGTCAACTGGTACATTTGGATAGATATACTATCTACTATAGTAGCCGCAAAATGGCCCTCACATAGCTCAGCGCCTTCCTCGGTCCACGGACTCCCAATGTCTAGAGTGGTCAACGATGCATGCGGTGGCTTCGGCAACTTGAGATGTCAGTACTAGCGAGTAAGCGGGGTAAGTTGGGGTAGATCAACAATCATGGTGCTGCTCCCAACTGGGACCCGTTATTTCGGAGCTATTCAGCTGGGACACGTCCAGCTCAAGCTCGTGTCGCCGCTCGCGTTGTTTACTGCTTGTTTCGCTCGCCTTTTGCGAGGACTTGCGTTGTGCGCATATAAAGTGTACGATCTGAACGGCGCTGTTCATCCTCTGCGTTTAGCACTTGGCTCGTCGCGTGCATCTTCAGCATCATCTGCGTCGACTTCATCTTCGCCAGTAGGCTTGCCAGACCTTTTCGGTTTTCGTCTCTTACGCTTGCTCTTGGCCGGCCGCTGTTCCGTAACAGGAGCGATTTCCACCACCATAGGAAGCACAGCTGGTCGCGCAATTGCAGGCAGCTCGCTCTCATTAATCTTGTTCTTGCGCATGCCTCTCGGATTCTGTGTCTCGAGCAATGCAACGTATTCGGCAGTACGTTTAGTGTGCTCGACCTTGGTCATGATTTTCCAGTTCTCAGGCTTGTCTGCCTCTCTCCACTTTTGCCAGATGTCGTCGTGCATTACACTTCCGCTGAGGACGACGAAAGCGCAGCTGTTCCAGAGCGTGTGGACTGCTTGGATGGGCAGCCACTTGGACCGTAGCTCTCCATGCTGTGTCAGCCAATATGCGACCTTTGCCGGTGTAGGGCACATGTTGCGGAGATGCGGTTCGACGTATATTGTCCGCTGATCCCAGAACGACAGGCCGTTGTCATCGGTGACGTGGAACGAGTTGTGGGGCAGGTATTTGGGCCGGTATGAGGAGGGCTTGCGGCGGACGTAGTAGCTGTTGCTCGAGGTCTCTAGCATCTTTGAAGGATGGTCGTGGAGAGCCTGTTGGAGGAGGACTTGGGAGGCTTCGGGCTTGAGGGAAGAGATGTTGGGGTGTTCGAGTATGGCGGTCAGGTGAATGTCTGGCCTGCAAGTCAGCCATGGAGCACACAGAGACGCGGGTCTACGTACACTTGTCTTCCCCATCGACCTTCCTGTAGTGGTCTTGAAGCCACTTGGCGCGCTCTTCTTCCTGGTGCGCATAGTCGGTGAAGATCAGCTCGATGCCAGCAGCAAGCTGGCCAATGTATTCCGGTGTGACGAGCTTGGTAGTGAACCTGGATCCGGGCTTTGCAACCTTGGCTTCAATCTGTTCTGGCTGGTAAGTAGGTGAGTTTGTACTTGTCTTCTGCATGGCCTCGACCAGCGCATCATCGCCGTCGCTCTCCGCGGGCGCTCTGACAGGCCGGGGTCGCGGCTTTTCGCGGACCCCTTTGAGCCTCAGCGCTCTTGGGACAAACATGGAGAGGGTAGTTAGTCTCGCTCAGATGCTCGCGAGCGCAATTGCCGCCACCATTCGCGACGCGCCGCGGCTCAAGCACGGACCTTACGTCAGTCCCCAGTTTCTCAATTTCCATGCGACACTTACTACTACTACTACTACCACTACTACTACTACTCCACATACCCTCGAACCGTCAAAATGGCCAAGGAGAAGAACTACAACCCCGTCCAAGAAGCCAAAAAGGCCGAGAAGCAGAAGCAGATCCGCAAGCAAAAGGCCAACCTCCAGACCCAGCGCAACGAGAAACTCGCGCGCCGAAACCCACATCGCATACAGCGCGACATTGACAACCTCAAAGAACTCGACCAGAGCGGCGCCATACGGCCACATGAGCGACAACGGCTACAGGAGCTGGAGAAGGATCTCACAGCAGTGAACAAAGCGCGCGCCGCGCTGGGGGACAAAGCGCCAGTCTTCAAACCAGAGCGACAATACAACAACAATGACGATAATAGAGAGAGGGGCGCAGAGCAGAGAGACCGACGCGCCGGCGTCCTGGGCAAGAGATCACGAGACGGCCAGCGCAAAGACACGGATAGCAGTGACACCGACGACGACGTGAAGCGCATACCCATGCCACGCGACACACCACCGCCAATACCAAAACGCTTCCTCCAGCCCGAACAAGACGACGCTTCTGCTGCTACAACCGCCGCCGCCGCCGAACCAAAGAAACCAACCATTGTCTACGAAGCCGCGCCCCAAGTCCGCGATCTGCGCAAGGAAGCAACCAAATTCATGCCCGCGTCCGTGGCGCAGAAGATCAAGTTGGCAAAGGGCGAGGGACGCCTACTTGAGCCGGAAGAGTTTGACAAGCTGAGAGACGAGGGTTATATGAATGAGAAGAAGAAGGAGGAGGAGGAGGAGAACAAGTCGACGGCAGCAGGGAAAGAGCAAGCGGAGAAGAAGACGGCGGCGCAAACGGCCGACGAGGAAGAAATAGACGCCTTCTTGGAAGGCGTGCAGAATGCAAGTGTCAAAGATGCGGTAGAACGGGCCGCCGAGGCTGCGGTGCAAGAAGCCGAGTATGAGATGATGGCTGCGGAGGCCCAAGGGCAGATGGAAGGTATATCTGGGGAAGCGAGGACGGCGGAGAATAAGCTTAACCATGTGTCGATGGAGGAGGTGGAAGATGAGGACTTGTAGGCGTGGCTAAGTTTTATCAAGGAAGCTCGTTCCATGTCTTAGGTGGTTTGTCTAATGATGGGACTTGAAAAATGTTTCATGAAGCTTTACGTGTCGTTGTCGCACTGATGAGGAACGTGGCAACAATACTACGGGCCAAACATTGCTGTTTTGCTCCTGAGAACATCTTCCTCGCGACATGTTGACAATCGAAGCATGCACTCATATGTACCTGCTCACAGAACGATTGTACAAGAAGTCACGGCAAAGGCGCCAGTATGTTTGATCAAGTCATTATTTCATTCATTGGTAGGGTATATAGATACGCGGCTTTCACGCCGAAAGGGTATGTTTCGTTCCATCCATCGCAATACCATGTTGGTCCATTCTCAGGTCTTCATGCCATACAAGAGAGAGGGGAGGAAGAAGGGCATCGTGGCTACCAGGCAAACAAGAAGAGAAGTGCTTTACTTCTTCTGGCCAGTGGCGCCGGAGAGGGTGTCGGAGATGCTCTGGCCAGCGTTGGAGGCCATGTCCTGGGCTTGCTTCATGACGCCCTGGCCCTGGTTGGACGCATCGTCGCCGCCGGAGCGGGTCGCGTCACCGAGCTTCTGTCCGGTGGACTTCTGGCCCTCTGGTAGTCGTCGTGTTAGTTACATGTTCCCCGTATTCAGAAGGGAAAGGGGGAGGGGAGCGTTGTCTTACCAGGCTGGACGGCGCCGGCAATGCGGTCACCGGCTCCGGTGAGGCTCTCGCTGGCCTTCTCGGTGGTGGACTTCTGGGAGTCGGGGGTGACTGTGACGGTGGTTAGATGGTTGTCCTGTACTGCATGTTTCGACGGTGAGTGAGCTTACTCTTCTCTGAGGCTTGCTCGCCGAGGCCCTTGCGCATGGAGTCAGACATGTTGATTGTTTGTGGTTGGTTGGTTGGAGGTTTGGAAGTGGTAGTTGTAGTTGGTTGGAGTTTGAGAGTTGATTGTGTGATGAAGGTTCGAGGAGAAGACAGCAGAGACATTCTTATATACTACCTTTCTGCACCATGGCAGTCGTACGTCATATGTCTCTAGACGAGCAGCTGCAAAGGGTGTGGGTGAGAGAGGGCAGCGCAGTGTTTAGTGGGCCCTGTTACTTGCTCCTTCACATGGTAGAACTGCCAGGATGTATACCAGTTTGCAGGCGCCACAGACGGCCACGATTGGTAGATCACTACTTCCGCACGGTGTGATTGATGGCAATCTGGCGCCTTTGCATGGCATTCGCGTCATCCGGCCACGGCTCAGGGTGGATACATGTTCCAGATCGTTTGCCGCAGGAGGATTACTGCCCCGCTAAAGGGTAAGATGTGCTGGGCAAGTTGGAACGAGGGGCATGTGCTGCCGCGGTTCCCCCTCAGCTGCGAGTGCTTTTTCAAGTGAATAGTTGGTAGCGTAGTAGAGAGATAGTTGGTAGCGTCAGGTTAGCCTTAGTACCTTCTTGATAATGGTAGACTATCCCCTCGCCCTACTTCTAGCCTGAAGCCATACTCCGGAGCAGAAGCCGTTGTTTGCCAACGTCGGGTACACGAACAGTTGGAAGGTTGAGTGGGGCAGTACCCCGCTGACGTATGTTGGTGGCACGAACAAGTCACGCAGCACGTGACTAGCGTCATTGCTACGCCACATCAGCCCGAACAGACGCGTACAGACGTCTTACAGAGCTCGACGCGTCCAGGTTCTACTCTATCATCCCGCTCGCACCCACGCAAATGGAAAGTGATTCTCCACGCAGGAGCGCATAAGAGTCGTTACTATTTCTGGCCTTTTGCCGCTGAGCAAAAACTTGTTTGACATTTGTCGCGAAGAACCCACTTTTCATCTCGTCAACATCGTCAATGTGACGACCCATCCTTTGGCCGCTGGATTCAACATGTGCACATGCTGCGCACAATCATGATCGACTGTCCTTTGCACGAGCGGGCCGTTATCCGTGGTTGAGCTCTGCGTTGTTTGCTGTGGACCTTGGCTAATCTCACAGCGTCAGCAGCAAAGCCGAGTCTTGCCAACCACCACGCGCTCAACACCGAGTCTGTCCCACAGTAGCAGCAATAGGATGAAGGATTGGCTTTTTCATGGTCGCCGGTGATGCCTCAAATTGAGATCGGAGAATTTGCCATTGCCCATGCTGCCGTGCGGCGAGGTACATGCGGCCGTCTCACCAGGCCGACTATGATCATCCTTGGGGATCAATCTGCGCACAACTCAGACAATGCCTGCGACGCGGCACAACAGATATCGATAGCGCCTGGCGAAGATCGTCTCTGGCACTCCAAACTGCCAACACCGAGTGTGTCGTGCTAGCTGTCAACATACCTCCGAAGCTCGTGTTTGATGAGCAGCACCAACAATGTTCGACAACTGTCTTGCTGGGGTTGCATCTACTCGAGACTCCTCGGTGCTCGAAAGTATCGCCGATATGCAGTGCATTCGCCGTCGCGCAAAGTCTCGACCAAAGGATCGTCTGCCGCACGCGATGCTCCTGCATGCAGGCGTCTGTGAGGCTGGGCAACTCTTCACAAGCCACAAGCTAACTGACGAAACAGGCAATATCACAGATAAACACCCAATGAACCTTCAATCTCCCTTATTTGCCGTACAAAATGGTTTTCCATCCTATCTTCCCCGTGTTTCAGATCAGATCCGCTCTAGCGCTTCTCTTAAACGATAGTCGCTTCATGATAGGGTCCACGTCGATCAGGCTCCGACAAACCTAATTTTATTTACCGCTGTACAGTACCAAACCTCACCGTTTGGTGTATGGGCATGCTGTCTATCACATGTATTGACTCGCCCACGGCCCTCGCCCGCATGAGTCTCCATGCCTGACAATCCCAAGGCCGCCTCGCTGGCTGTGCCACAGGCTTCTAACAATAGCTCGAGAGTAGTAAGAGCAGGGATGACTTCATGCTACACACAGTGCCATAGGCACGTTCAGTACCGCGAACAGTTTTGCTTGTACAAAGTACTCTCTTGGGGTTCTGGGCGTTGTGGCACTGCCGCTGCCGCTACTGGGATCGCTCTCACACGCCAACATACAGTCCGTTTCCTTGATACATTTGCCTAAAGTTTCGAGGCTGAGGTCGCTACCGTTGCTGCCACTGCGGTTGTTGGGAACATAAAACAGAGACGGGGTCGTCTCCGCTCATGGTTACTTCCTCATAAGGCAATCGTCTTTCTTCAAGACTCAAAGTACCCCAATAATTCTTATTATCGCTATTGCTTAATCCACCATGAAGTTCTTCGCAGCGTTGTTGGTACCTCTTCTCTACTCTATATCTGCGCATGCCGACACTTTTGCCGACGACGCCTTTACTGCCATCAAACTTCTGCAAGAAAAATGGTACAACTACGATACTGGCCTATGGTAAGTAGCTTTCCACTTCACGCGACCGGCATATCTGACTTCAATCAGGAACGACTTATGGTGGCAGTCCGGCAACATTATTGAGGCCATCGCCCGATTTGGTATCCAAGATGCTGCCTTCAAGGAGTACGCCCTCATGATCGTCTCCAACACATTCGCCAAATCCCCAAACCAGCATGGTGCAACGCAATGGAGAAACAAGTTCTACGACGACGAAGGCTGGTGGGCAATGGGCTGGATCGCCTCCTACGATCTTACGGGCGACGTCAAGTACCTCAATGCCGCCAAAGACATCTTCGAAGACATGACCACAGGCTGGAACACGCCCTGCAAAGGCGGTCTCTGGTGGTCGAAAGACCGCGACTACATTGCCGCCATCTCCAATGAGCTCTTTTTCTCCGTCGCCGCCCACATCGCCAACCGTGTCGACGGCCAGCAAAAAGTAGACTACACCAACTGGGCTTCAATGGAATGGGACTGGTTCAAGCAATCTGGTATGATCAACAGCGACGAATTGATCAACGACGGCATCGACCCCACGACTTGCAAACCCAAGGGAACAACCTTCACATACAACCAAGGTATCGTCCTAGCCGGCCTCTCTGAACTTGCTCGCGCGAAAAACAACGGCGACTACATTGAAGAAGCGTACAAGCTTGCCGTGGCCTCGACAACCAAACTCAGCGATGGAAGCGGCATTCTCACCGAGCCTGTTGGAGGACCTCTCGACCCCGTTAGCTCGCAGTTCAAAGGCGCGTATGTACGGGGTTTATCGACGCTTTATGAGAATGCGCCGCAGCAGGGGGTTAAAGAGTTCTTCTATCGGAACGCTAATGCGGCGAGGAGTCAGCCGAGGGTGGATGGTGGTGTCATTGTGGATTTGTGGCAGGGGTCCAGTCAGAATGGGAATCCGAGCACGCATGCGAGTGGGATTGACATCATGGTTGCGGCTGCATTGGCTGGTGACCCGTAGGTGTTGCTGCTGTGGTAGGGGCTGTCTTGCGGTTTCTTGGTTGTGTTTTATACCCCCGTTTTGGTTTTGGTTTTGGTTTTGGTTCGGTTGGGGCTGTTTTTCCACGCCAGCGGCTGTTTGGCGCTAGATGGTATCGTGAGGGTTGGAAAAGATGGAGTGTGCAAAGGACACTCGTTCTGTTTAATGTAATCACGAACTTAATGACGACTACATATACAAATCTTGTGCCTGTGCAGTGTGCTTCTTTTATTTCGTTATAACCTTCAGATTTAGTAATGCTTTGCTCTGCTCAACACATCGATCTTGGCTCAGTGTTGGGCGTGATGCATTGCTCTTGTCTCGATTAACGCGGAATGTGCAAGTCACTTCACGCTGTAATGTTATAGATACTACCATCTGCATGCCGGGGATACCAATCGTCTCTTATGCCTTTTTTCCTCTATGCGCAAGATGATTGGTGGATTGATGAGGCATTTTTGTGAGAGCTGACCAATAGGAAGATCAGGCTGCATAATCTACGCCACGTAAACGGCACATTCGCTAGAGCTCAGCAAATCCTCGCCCGAAAGCTCCTAGACACTGCAAAACTTCTCGCGACGAACCTATGTACTCCTGCCGGTCACCATTTGGCATTGGGTAATACCTTCAGAATAGATATCCGGCGTTTTTCATCGTCCAGCACGTATTCTTGCGGGGAAAGCATCGGCGTCATCCGGCACTTCCACCAGCCGTGCCCAAGAGCTCGGTATCAACGTTGTTCCCAGCTCCACCGAGTGCACTTATCCCAATTGGTGAACCGAAGACGTCCTCGCCTCACGTAAAAACGTTTTTACCGAAGAGCCTTAGTCAAAACGGCGCGCAATGCAACTCGATAAGACTACTGTACTGCAGTGCGCACTGTCCTACTCACAGATACCTACGCCCGATCTTTCTGCAATCCAACTAGGCCCAAAGGCTACATGCGACAGCAAGAATGAGTGGCGGCTGCAGGTCTTACAGCTCATGGCAGGCCATGGTAGGTTAGATAAGCCCGCGGTTACACCGGTTTTGAGGTCTGTGTATTGTCAGAAGTGTTGTCATATTCGGTTTATCTGAGGATTTGAGGCTTGCGGCCGGAGGTATGATGTAGGGTTTGCTGTTCTCTTGCCTTTCGCATCGTGTGGGTATCAGGAGCCAGATTATAGGGATTCGAAGCATACATATCACTCGTTGTTGTCTGGAAGACCTCTTCACTTTTCACATCTTCGATTGATCCACTCGACTCTCGTCATGGGCTACGAAGCAAACAAGTACCGGTCATGGCTACCAGACTTCCTCAAAAGATCGACGCAGGACGATGCCACGCCCGACGAACGAACATCACTTCTTCCAGATTCGCGGCATGAAGAGTGGACTACGGGCGAAACGTACGAACTCGAGGATAAACAGGCATCCAAAACCCAACTCGTCCTCCAAGAGTTTTGGATCCTGCTCAAAGGATCACTACCAGTGGTCGTAGCATACGCGCTGCAAAACTCGCTGCAAACAGTATCTGTCCTCATTGTCGGCCGCCTCTCACCAGAGGCATTGGCTACCGCTGCCTTCTCGTACATGTTCGCCATGGCGACTGGTTGGCTCGTCGCTCTTGGTGGCACGACTGCGATCGATACACTGGCGTCCGCCAGCTTCACGGGCAGCAAGAATCCGCATGACCTAGGTATTATTCTCCAACGGGCGTACGTCATGCTCCTGCTCTTCTACATACCGATCGCTATCGTGTGGTTCTGCTCCGAGCCACTCTTCAAAGCCCTCGGTCAAGAAGACTACATAGCTCGAGACTCGGCGAGATTCCTTTCCGTGCTCGCTCCGGGCGGTATTGGCTATATATATTTTGAAGCGCTGAAGAAATATATGCAGGCGCAGGGTAAGTCCATGTCAACTACGCTGGCTGTGCTCTCAAGCTGACATACTCAGAAATCATGAGACCTGGAACATACGTCCTCCTCATTACCTCCCCACTCAGCGCCGGCTTAAATTACCTCTTCGTATACACCTTCAAAATGGGACTACTCGGCGCTCCACTTGCAACCGGCATTGCATACTGGGCATCCTTCCTTTTGCTGCTCGCATATGCGCGCTTCGTTGACGGGTGGCAGTGCTGGGGAGGCTGGGATCGCAAGTGCCTGCAGAACCTTTGGACTTTCTCCCGACTTGCTCTCCTAGGCGTGATACACGTCGGTACAGAATGGTGGGCATTTGAGATTGTTGCGCTTGTAGCAGGAAAGCTCGGCACTATACCACTGGCTGCGCAGAGCGTTATCATGACTACAGACCAAGTCATGAACACCATTCCTTTCGGAGTTGGTGTTGCTACCTCGTCGCGTGTCGGAAACCTCCTCGGCGCACGGAACGCCAAAGGCGCAGCTAGAGCTGCCAACACAGCCGCTGTGCTCAGTATGTTACTCGGTGCGCTTGTGCTGGCTGTTCTTATGGGAGTCAAAGACTTCTATGCCAAGATCTTCAACGACGACGTGGAAGTCATCAAGCTCACTGCAAAAGTAATGCCCTATGTCGCGCTCTTTCAAATCGCGGATGGACTTAATGGCAGTTGCGGCGGAGCTCTCAGAGGCATGGGTAGGCAACATATTGGAGCAACGGTAAACATTGTCAGCTACTACTGCGGGGCTTTGCCATTGGGCATCTGGCTTGCCTTCCACGGCTGGGGCCTCGGCGGCTTGTGGGTCGGTCAGTGCATCGCGTTGTACCTTGTCGGATTTGCAGAATGGGCGATTGTTGCTTGGAGTAACTGGGATCACCAGGTCAAGAAAGCTTTCGAAAGGATGGATTCAGATGAGAGGGCAGAGTTGGGCGTTGCTCCAGAGGAAGCTGCGCCGGTACGTAGGTAGTCGCCTCAGGTTTCGGCGGCTGAGGTTGGTCGCGTCGGATGTATTAGCAACGCTTCTTAGACATTGCGCACGGAATAGAGATAGATAGCTGTCCGGTACGACTAATGCAAGAAGTGCCAAATATTACTCGATACGTTAAGCGAACGGTGCTAGCGCGGCCGGTATCTGAATCCTGGTCTCCGCGTCTGAACCTCACTTCTCATCGCCTCACCACCTCCGCACGGCTACCCAGTTGCTGCGTACCCCACGGCAAGTTTGCCTCTCAATAAAATATCTAGGGGCTTTCGTGGCTTTGGGGCGGATCACGTATCCGGCCTTGCTGCATGTACTAAAGGTAAGCTTCGTCAATTGACCGCCCAACCTGCCACGGAGATCGTACTTGGGATGCATCCGGATCACCTCAATTCTTATCGAGCCAATCCAGGCACTGTATAACAGCTACGAAAGACCTTTACGTAGAACATGTAAAGCTGCAGACTACGTAACGAACGCATCGGAGACGCACTTGCATGCATTAGTAGCGTAGGATCATACAGGTCTTGACTCGCTTGAGATAAGACGCGATACCAAGAGATCGGAGTCGCTGAATACTGTTCTTACATATCGTCTATGGGGAAGCTTACTGGCTGATTTCCCCGGCTTTTTTCTAATCATGGATCTGGGATCCTCGTCATTGTACATGGCGGGGTTGGGTATCCACATCGATCAGCAACGGCCAGTGCATGTACTCCTCGGCAATGTAGAATGAGGTCGCTCGGATGTATTGAACAAGGGGGAGGTAGGAAAGTTGATGTGACCATCACGGTGTTCTCAAAGTCTGCACAAAAAGCTAGACGCGGTATGCTGAAGAGAATCTGGTCCATCTTCGTTGGAAGCTCATCTCTATACCCTTCCAGCTCTGCACTGAGACAACATAGCTCCGGAATTACACCACACATCAACCCAACCTCGAGGCCTGAAGCTTCCCCAAGAAGCTACTAACCGATTGGAGGCACAACGGTGCTATGCCTGCAGACGACATCATCATGGAGCAGGGGTAGCTCCAAAAAAGTTGTTTACCTAACAGCTATTTACCTAAAAGCAGTTTACCTAACGTGAGCTGGTCAAGGTGCAACTGATAGAGAAGACGATCATAATCTCGAGCTATATACTGCGAGCTCTCCGCAGTTTTCCAAATCTGTTTCTGCATCTCTCCCTCCCCCTTTCCATTTTCTGCCGCATCCACACCTTGAAAAACAACGGCAATATGAGGTTCACTCCCGCGATCGTTGCGAGCTTCGCGGCTACTGTAGCTGCGCACGGCGACCACGGCCACGACCAAGAACCATTGGCTGGACCACACGAGGGATTGTGGTACAACACGCTTCCCGGTGACGGTGGAACTCAAGTATGCGCTTCCAACTCGAGGGACGACGCGCTCAAGCAGTTAACTGACCTCACCTCAGGCCGACTCCATCTTCTCTGGCATTTCTACATTCGGTCGTCTCCCCTACCACCCGTGTCTGTCTAGCAACACAAAGTTTGACATTGCATTCATCGGTGCGCCCTTTGACACTGGCACATCGTACCGCCCGGGTGCTCGCTTTGGACCCAGCGGTATCAGACAAGGTTCTCGCCGCCTCAATCTCTAGTATGTTTCCTTGCAAGCAACCATGTGCTTACTTCTTTGGGGTGAATCAAAGGCTCACGCAGAATTGGATTTAGTGGTGGCTACAACGTCCCACTCGAGGCGAACCCATTTAATTCTTGGGCCAAGGTCATTGACTGTGGTGACATTCCTGTGACTTCGTAAGTTGCTTTCCACCTCTTGTGGGCCTTGTCGGGGTCAGAATGGGGGAGCGAGCGGATGCTGATTTGGTCATGTGTGCAGGTACGACAACGGATATGCGCTTCAGCAGATTGAACAAGGTCACAACTTGCTGTTGAGCCGCGAACCATATACCCATGCGGATAAGCCTGGTCCCTCAAAGAAGGGTACTACACTTCCTCGCTTGATCACCCTCGGAGGCGACCACACCATCACACTCCCTCTCCTCCGTTCCATCAACCGTGAATACGGTCCCATCACCGTCATCCACTTTGACAGCCATCTGTAAGCTTCAATCTACCCTACCCTTTCTCTCTCTCTTTTGCCCCTATCCCTTCAACAACAACGACACCATAATCTAACACCTGCAAGCGACACATGGCGTCCCAAAGTCTTCGGCGGCGCCCCCTCGGAACAAGCCAGCATAAACCACGGCACCTACTTCTTCCACGCCGCACAAGAAGGCCTGCTCGCCAACGACACCAACATCCACGCCGGCATCCGGACCACGCTATCGGGCCCTTCCGACTACGAAAACGACGGCTACTGCGGCTTTGAGATTGTCGAGGCACGCGAAATCGACAAGATTGGCATCGATGGCATTGTCAAGAAGATCAAGGACAGGGTAGGCACCGAGAAGCCCGTGTATCTGAGTATCGACATTGACACTCTTGATCCTGCTTGTAAGTTTAACCTGTTGGTTGGTTTGGCCTTGATGGTGGCTGTGATTATGATGGGGACTTGAGAGGTGGGACATGGCTTGGTTTCTCAATTTGCGACAAAAGACTGACCGCTTTGCTCAACAGTCGCTCCTGCAACTGGCACGCCCGAGACGGGTGGTTGGACAACCCGAGAACTCCGCACTATCATCCGTGGCTTGGAGGGTATCAACCTCATTGCTGCTGATATCGTCGAGGTGGCTCCTGCTTACGATACCAACGCTGAGCTTACTACCATGGCTGCTGCGGATACACTTTACGAGGTCATGACTTTGATGGTTAAGAAGGGGCCGTTGAGCTACATGGGTGCTCCTAAGAAGGAGACGATCGAGTTGTAGAGTGGGGGCTTGAAGGATAGGATAGCATGGGCAATGATGTAGATAGTAGGCGTTGACTGGTGACCGAGAGAGGAATTGTTGGATATGATGCGTTGAGCGCGATTGTGGTAGAAGCGTTCCGGACTTGGATCAGCCATGTATATGACGACAATGATGATGACGATGACACCGAATCAATGCCTTCCAGGGTATACCCTAAGCAACAAGCATGAATCATCCCAGTGATCAGGCCTCCCCCTTGGTGCATACACCACATCCTCCTGATACTCTTCTTCCTTTCCATGTACGCGTCGACTTGTGCATCCAGAGACCTACCCACCCCATCTCATAAATCCAAAAACACAATTCAGTAAAACGCCCATGACGACAGCAACCTGCCTCCTGCGCGTCCAAACCCCCTCTTCTCTAAACCCCCACACCAGACTACCCAGCGGGAAAAAGAAGCCCGTCAAATAACCATACAGCATATCGTCCAGCCCACCTTCTTCCACCGCGAAGCCCGCGCCCCAGCCAGTTTCTCCACCAGCACCTGCTCCTCCAGTTGCCGAAGGATTGGCAAGGGAAGCAGAAGGGTCGTTGGCAGACGAGTCGAGCCAGCGATCTTCCAAGACACGGATTTGCGCGGGCGTGGGCATGGTGTCGGGGGTATGTGTGAAGGAGAGGTTTTGGGCAAAAGTGGCGCGGAGCGAAGCTACTTCGTCGCGCGTGAAGCCCGAGGAGAGTAGTCTGTCGAAGCCTTGTGCCGCGGGGACGGTATTCGCTGTATTTGCGGTAGCAGTGGAGCTACGTCGCCGGGCATTGTGGTCTATTGTTGCACTACCACTACTACTACTTGTGCGTCGCTGAGAAGGGGCAGTAGATGAGGTTGCGTGCTGCGACTTTAACGCCATGTCAGTACTCTGAGCGAGTGCGGCTTCGCTAGCGAGTTCAGACGCGGATAACGCATCGCCGAGAGAACAGTGTATGTAGTACTTTTTTGCATCTTGAGGGATTTCCGTCGTGGTTCCATACTCTACAGCTGGTGTCTCCCTCAACGGCTCTTTCCCTTTGGCCCTGCTACTTCCCTCCCCTCCTCCGTCCCCGCTGCTGTTCTTCGCGTTCCTTGGAGGCGGCGCGGGTGGCGGCGCGAGTCGCAGCGATTTAGACAGTGGATCCGTGTCCGCGAGGACCTTGCCTGCGTAGATCAGACGCAGGCGCGCTGAGGCATGTTCGGACGGGAGGTGTTGCCGTATAAGCTGTTTGAGGCTGAGAGTTGCGATTGTGCGAGGTGTGTGGATTGAGAGGGGGAGATCGGGTACGGACGCTGTGAAGCGTATAATCAAGTAGATGAGCTGCTCGGGGAGAGCTGTCGCGTTCACCATGGTGTTGGATGTACAAGACTGCGGCGGGTTCGAGAGGTGGGGCATAGACGAGCGAGAGATTGAATGTGAATATCGGTCCGAGTTATTTGATAAAGGTCGTGGCATCATTAATCGCAATTCTTGTGGTCGTTGAGCATTTTAGGCGGGGATCGTTTCGCTCGGGTCGTGCTGTTCGCGCAATCGACGCGGCAGCTCCCCGGAGCTTAGCAGCGTTGAGGTCATTATATCCGAAGTATAGCCCACCAAGTCGAGTGCCCCTCTTTACACATGCACCGCGTCACTACGTCCAGCATTCTGTCTCAATCGAAGCAACTGAATAACTTCCAAGATGACAATCATTCACATTGTACTTTTCGAATGGAAGCCCACAGCATCCCCAGACCAAATTTCAGAAGTACCTCTTGTATTTATCTAAACATACATCGTACATGTACTAACACTTCATAGGCGTGCAATCGTATGCTGGGCCTCAAAGACCAGTGCATTCACCCAACATCTCAGAAGCCATACATCAAGTCCTTCTCTGGTGGCAAGAACAATAGCCCTGAAGGTCACAGCGTAAAGGCAGTTCCCATAGATCCTCCTTGCAGCTGCTGACATGCACAGGGCAATTCGACCCACGGTTTCGTAGTTGAGTTTGACAATGAAGAGGACCGCGACTACTACGTGTACAAAGATCCCGCGCACCAAGAATTCGTCAAGTTCGCCGGAGGAGTGGCGAATGGCGTCAAGGTCTTTGATTATGAACCAGGGAGGATGTAAATATCGTGTCGAAAATGAGGTAGCAAGCGCACTACACTCTGTGATGATGATAATCCAATTATGCCATATGTATATGTAACGCCCAAGATGCAACGCCGGTAATGCTCCTCTAATGCATAGTGATGGAATCGTAAGGGTATCATGATACGCTGAAGGACTCGCCGCAACCACATTGCTCAGCTAGAATTTGTCAGCTTCTGTTCCTCGTATTATGCTAGAGTAAGACGTACTGATGTTGGGGTTCTTGAAGATGAATCGCTCATTCAGCTTGTCCTCCAACCAGTCCATCTCACTGCCAATAATGTTCAGCAGCGCCTTGTTGTCGATCAAAACCTTGACGCCATCCTGCTCCACCTGCTCGTCCAGCGGGCTTGGCTTGTCCACATACTCGAGGTGATACGCCAGTCCTGAGCAGCCCTTTGCCCTTGTGCCTATCCGGATCAGCTTTGGCTCCGGTAACTCGAGAAGTTCGCGAAGGTGTGACACCGCCGAGGGCGATAGCTTGATAGTCGCTTTCCGTGGACCGAAGTTGTAACGGCGCGGCCGCAAAGGCTTGCTGGAGCCCGGCGCTTGCTGCGACTTCTGTGCCTCGCCCTCGGGTATGCTCACATTCGGTTGCTCGGATGGCGTCGCTGCGACGTGCTCTTGCGGCGGTAGTTGTGGGGTTTTCGCTTTGTTTGCCTCGGCTGCTCCACCCGCTATCGATGTGTCAGGTACACCAGCATTTCTCGGTGGTGGCGGCTGGGGGTGCAGCGAATAGGGCTGATACGCAGTCGCTGTCTGCATCTGCCGCTTAGCTGACTGTCGGTACGCTATCGATGAGGCAAACGTCCGCGCGCATTGCGGGCACCTGCGGGGAGTGAAGGACGGGGCGGCGAATCGCAAGAGTGTCGAGCTGGAGCGCGCGACGGCGGCCGTGGTTCGAGGCAGTGACATGGTCGCAGTGTGTCGAGGATCCAAGAGGGCTGTGAGGAGAGTAGGTAAGTCGCGTGGTGTGCGTTGTGAATAGATGGCAAGGGACAGACTGCTGCTTGTCACTAAATTCGCCGAAGCATATGTCATCCGCGGCAAATTCCGGGGCATATGGCACAATTATAAAGCAGATGCACTTGATTGGTTGGTAATATCCCGAAGCATCGGAACTTCGGAATCCCAAGTCGGCTACAAGGGCAAGTCACGCTATGGTCAGTCCACTTACGCTACCATGAAACTGCCACAAACAACGTTTCTGTATTTCACGGCTATACTTGAGTATATGTTCGCTGTACAAAATTATGAATTTGACTTGTACAGATTATAGAAAGGAGCTCTGAGTATCTTTCTGCGTACTTGGCGGAAGTCGGTCCAGTCGTGGACAACTAGACCGACATATGACCACGGACTCCAACCAGTCCAATACGCGTCTTTCATACCAGAACCACATCATCTAGAGTATCTCTGCAGAAAATCAGAAAACCGCTCAGGTGTCACCTCAGGATACCTTCCATTATCCACATCCTCTCCCAATCCAGTCTTTCCGCTCAGTATAAAGTATACGCTAGCACTAAATGTCCATCAGACCGCTGCCATTACTTAAAGAAGGAGGAAAGAAGGACAGAGCACTTACTCGAGTATGTTCTCCGCATTTCCCTTCCTATCCAACTTTGCCTCCAGATTGGTCAAGAACCCGCGTGATTCCATTGTGAGGTTGATGCCATGTACGGATTCGACGTCGGCAGCTAGTTCACGGGCGCTTTTACGCTCGCCTCGGACTAGATTTCCTTTGTCAGCAAAGTGAGCGTTGCAAGATGGGTAACTTTGATATTTCCCACATTTGAAGAACCCCGTAGCGGCGGGATCAAGAGCCACAGCAGCGATATACTCTGCCGCCGTCTCGTAACTCGTAAGATCCCACTTCTCGTCTCCGCTGCCCCAGTAACTCATCTTCTTCCCCTCTTTGTCCACCACGCCGAAGTAGTCGAGAAACGTCTCCATGAAAAGGCCAACGAGGATATGTATCCCCGTCACACCCTCCTTCTCTTCGACGTACGCAGCGATATGCTTCATTGGCTCTTTAATCGCTAAATCGCCCCAGTCCAGATTCCGATAGTCGCCTGTGTAGTCGCTGGCTATGTACCGGGTGATACCTTCTTCCGCACATAGATCAATCAACAATCTTTGTGCGGAGAGCATGGTCTCGTCGTCGGCGAAGTAGGCACACATTACCACATCGCTGCCGCCGATCAAAGCACGAAGATTCTCTCTGTCGTAGGGTCCGCTTTGGATCAGGGCTATACGGGGAGAGGCTTTGAGCTCGTCGGGAAGTTTGTTGATATCGCGGCAGGAGCCACGGATGTAGACGTCTGGTCGTTTCAGCAGTGCCTTTGTGACGAGGAGGGCAAGACGGCTGCTTATGCCAGCGATTGCTACGGTGATGGGCATGTTTCTGAGTTTGTGCAGCGAGAAGGGAAGAGTAGGAAAGAAGTGAAGTATGAGCTGGGACGAGGGCCAATTTGTTAGACTTCGATATGGCAATTATTGTTTTGCGACCTTTGTTGCTACAGTCGGATGGCTTTCCCAGGCTGGGAGTACGTTTTTGATGATCAGGTACCCCATACTTGGTTGTTTGCTTGTCCATGTGTCCCAATAGCTCGTCCGCGTTTAGTCCGGACGTCCCCTTGCGACGACAAGATACTAATTAAGCGGTCATTGGCATTTGAGCGGAACCGGAGCAAAGCGGCGGAGTAAATATCCATGCGCTTACTGGATGAGGCTTGCTGGACCCGAGCATATGCCTTGTACTTGCGAGTTCTCTCATTCGAAAGCATTATCGGATCCGAACTCCCGTAAAACGAGGATCTTCCACATATCTGACGCTGCTGTGAGGCTCAAATCCAGATTCCGATCTGGCCGGTGTGAAAAGGTGGCGGTAGTTTGCTGAAGAGTCCAATGTCCTCGGGTCGTCGAACGTACGAACAAGAGTCCACCGCATTGTGGCATCCACTTTCACCTGACTCTTTTGCTATTGGGCATCTCGACATTGACGCGGCTTCTCATGTATGCCTTCCATCTATGCTATTGACGGACTACCCCCATTGAATGTGCCCTTCGCCTTGACACACAGATCTCCACCCACACTTTCCAGTGTCGCAACGATCTCCTGTCTTGATCTTGAAGCCTCAGTCTTCTTCGTAAGATCCTTTTGAGGCGACAACCATCCCAGCCAGCTCTTCGTAGGCTCCGCTTCAGGTTCTGGCGGCGGTTCAGACTGCGGGAGATCAGGTTTCGAGAAGCTCGCGCGGAGTATGTAGAAATCAAGGCTGTAGGTCGGTTTCGCGTAGGTTACACTAAGGGAGTCTGGACGATGGACTGGTTCTGTCTCCTGCATTAGCACGACTTTGTTCTGTATGATTGTAGTCGTTGGAAGCCGTATACTTACCAATAACCCCCTCAGGTCCCCTAACCATCCTCGCCATAACCTCCTCCATGACCGTCGCAATAGCCCCTCCGTGCGCAACGCCCGGCCACCCAGCCAACCCGCCCCCTATCCAAACCACAGCCACCATCTCCCTCGTCTCGGCATTCCAAAACGCCCTCTGTACGCCCAACCCCCTCGTCCCACTCATAGCCCCCAATATCCCCTCCTTGCCCCCACTCTCCCTCCCGAAACCTAAATCTAGTTCTAGCCATCCTTTATACGCCGATATCTTGCGACTCGAACCTGGAGGCGAAGACGTCAAGCCTGGACCCGATCGCAAGGCTGTATCGGTATGGAGGTTGTACGACTGGGAGCGTAGGGATTGCACTATTTCTATGGCATCGATGTCGCGGCGGAGGGAGTCGAGGATGAGTTCGTCTTCCCGGGAGCCGGGTTCAGGGAGGCCGAGGGGCGCGGCAAAGTGGCGGGCACCGAGGCCTGTTGTTATTCCCAGGGCGAGGATGCTGGCGTACCAGAGGTAGGACCAGCGGATTCGGGACTGGAGGGGGAGGGGAACGGAGTGATGCGCATGGTAGCTGGTGGAGAAGAAGTTTTGGCGCAAGGTTAGGTAGGATGTGTTGAAGAAGGTGCGACTATAGAGAAGGCGCGCTTGAGACATGCTCGCGATTTGCTGCTGACTCAGGCGCAGCAATTGGAGAGCTTGAGATTTGGTGGACTTGGATTATGGAGATGACGCGAATTGAGGGCAGGGATGTCTTCACCGAGGCTGCATAGTAGTGGCTTGGCATTGGCGGGCACCTCGATTGCGTGTTCTGTATCGTTTTGTCAACTCTATCACTATACCCTTGGGACGCATTCATTCTCAAGCCCAACGATGTTTTGATCAACCGACACTATCCAAACCTCCGCACATTGGCCCCAACGCATACGTTCGCTGTCTACTCACTGCAGATGACACCGCCAACATTACGTTCAAGCGTGCTAAACACCGTGTGCCTGAAGGTATACATGTCCTTCTTTAGATGGCAATGTTCGTGTTGTAGGAACTTCGCATGGCCTTCCGAAAACGACCTCGTGCTAGTGGAGGATGTCATGAAATAATCGACATGATTTCTTCCCACTTTACATGCACCGCGCTGTTCACCCCAGAAGCTATCAGACAACGACGCGGCTTACAACATCACCATACCACAACATAAGGCTGCCCTCGGCAGTACATCTTTTTACATCTAACGATATCTCCCGTATACCTCACGACACCAACGGTCTCGGAGACATATACTCGCCGTGACTCGGAACCGGAGACTTCTTCCTGCTAACCACCTCCCTTCTCTTGCATAGCTCCCGTCTAGCAACGATGAAAACCCGCTTCTGGCCCCCCGTCTCGTGCCTATAGCAAACAAAGTATATGTAGCACTCGCCTCACACTCTCAGAGCCAACTTACCTATAGCTACTTTACTACTGTGTCAACCCCACCTTTTGCACCACCATCACTTCCAACGCTTCCAACCATGACCGATCCCGCACCTACCAAACCTCCCTTACCCGTCTTCGACCCGCAGAACTGCCAGACTTACCCAGCGAGTTGCCATTGCGGTATTGTACAGTACTCTGTTTTGCTCTCGCCGCCACTTGCTGAATCGAAGGTCGTATCGTGCAACTGCAGCATCTGCACGCGCAACGGCTACTTGCTCGTGTATCCTGAGCGATCGCAGCTACAGGTAAAGAGCGGTGAGGAGATGTTGAGGGGCTATTCTTTTGGTAGGAAGAGGAATTTGCATAGGTTTTGTGGTAGTTGTGGGAGTGCGGTTTGGTTTGATCCACGGATGGCCGAGTTTGGGGATGCGCCACCGGATTTGCTGGGAGTTAATGTATGTGATGACTATGGGGATGATGTTATAGCACCGGGAGCTAACCTGTGCAGGTGAGGATGTTGCATGGTGTTAAAGTCGAGGAGCTGGATGTTGTGCATGTTGAAGATACGAATCTGTGAAGCTTGGGAAGTCGGGCAAATCCATGATGCATGTAGCTCACTCACTAGTTTTACGAAGATGTACATTTGGGCTCTAGGACCATACACGAGCGCTTCCGTCTCGCTACAAACCCATAAAGAGACCCCCACAGCCTTGATGACCACAAAACCACAGCTTGCAGGAGATATCATGCTTTCGATTAACTAGGCCACAGATACATGATCAAATGCATAACTCCTCGGAGCACTTCAGAACCGCCCAGCAGCTGATCATCTCCCGGGATCTCGTCCTACAAAGCAATATATCTCACACCACCCTCCACAGCATTTCCACAACGCCTCCCCCAAAAGCAAAAGCGACATGACGACACACACTCACACACATACTGCACCACCTCCACCTTTGCATGTATGCACAAGACGCATGTTTCACCACTTTTGGTACATGAGTCAGCGTAAGCGCCTTCTCCCACATCGCATTCCCAGCGATCCTTACGCATAGTTACACGAGCGATCTTGTGTCACTTTTCCGTGGGCCAGCTGTATGTGCGAGCGTCCATGGACGCGGTCTTGTGGTAATGTGGTAGTACGAGACATGGAGCACTAGGCGTGGAGTCGCACGGCGGAAGGGATGAGGCAACGGGCTTGTGTGAGGGGGTATGCCGTGGACTCTGGTTGGTGTCTTGGTTCGGAGATGAGTGTCGTGAGTCCTTGATGGAGTGAGCTTTGTGATGAGACGGTTTGGTAGTAAGGTCCGAGATCCGAGCGTATGGAGCGGGTGTTTGTATGGGGAGAGGTTGGGAAAGGGTGACTAAGGGTTGAGACTAGTTGGGTTAGGTGATGATGGTGGTAAGGTCTACGATCTCGTCGTAGGTTGCGCTGACACCAAGGAAAGCTAAGGTAGGGACTCCACTATGGGAGCGTTTTAGGGACATTGCTTATACGCTTACTGTCGACACGAACGTGAATAGGACAATACGAGTATGATACCCGTGTTATGAAATTGGAGCTAATACAATGGTCAACCATATCACCTGCATCTATCTAGCGTGGTGTTTTCTCGATACTCAGTCTTCGCAAGCTGGGGACACATTCTCTTTGCACCTCAGCATTGCAACATTTGTCTAGAATATTGATATATTCGGTATATGTGTTTCCGCTTTCCAATTAACCCAACGAGATATCAAGCATGGATAAAATGGCACAGACTTCTGGAAGCCTATATTGCTCTCATAATAGATCCAAAAAGCCGATGGTACACACTCATGATCTTTGTGACCCTTCCGAGTATACGCAAAAACTCAGATATAATGCGACAGAATGCGTTGGGAAGAAAGGATCCAAATGATGACATCCTCTACCCATGTCGGTTTCTTCTTGCAATGAAGTGTGCGTACATTCCGGCCGCTTCACCAAAAGTTATTCTCGCTTTTTTTTTATGACTCTTAGTGCTGTTGATACGCTATATAAAACCAGCTAGACATTCCCCCTTCTTGCTCAACATCATTTACTTTACGATTCTTCTTTCCAAAATCATAGTCTCCACAAAGCCAAGCCATGCTCTTCTTCTTTCGGAAGTCTCGATTGTCAACACGCTTTTCACTTAGCCAAAACGTAGCCAGATTGTGTTCATGGGTCCTGCGTCGGTCCGACCACTTCCAAAACATCTTTCTACGAAGACAAATCTTTCATGGAAGAGAATCCAGCGGACGTTTGATTCTCCAAAACGTGCGACGAAGTGCGCGACGATCTTGAGGGGGAAGTCACAAAACGTACGCGGTTTTTGCACTATGTGCTCTTCGTGTGACCTCTGAATTATCGCTGCATATGTTTATGACTGCTAGCGTGGTTTCTATGATATATAAATTCAGCAACGAGCTTCCTCTGTTCCTCTTCATCATCCACCTGCGTCTTCTATTCTACAAAATTATCCGCTACCAAACAATGTTCTTCCTCCTTTCGGACCTTCTAAAAATGACAAAACCCACCTCATGTTTCCGATCTGCAGAAGGGAGAACCAAAAACAGCATCTAACCATTATGATGTTTCTGGGGCACCACAATGGAATTCAAAACACGGCAAATCAGACCTATGTCCTCCACTGAAGAAGAAGACGCTGTGAACCACGTTTCCAACCATGCACGGAAGCTAATTGGAGCTTGGCATGACTTTGCGACTTGAACACGACCTAAACATTCAGACAGCCATCGGAAGAGTTTTCTGCCCCTCACTCGATTCTATAAAAATACCTCAAAATACCCCGCCGACCAGTCTATGTGTTGTCGAGATTGTTCATGGAGTATGTAACTTACCTAGGTATGGTTTTGAGTTCTGAACTTTCCATTCCACACTGTATAGTCTGCCATATCCAGAACATGACTACGGATAATCTTCATACCTGGCCTCATATGCTCTAACAACTTCCAAATTTCGTGAACAAGCCTTCATGGGTGAGCTCGCATACGCCGATTGGTTCACATTGTAAAAAGTCCAATACGCACACCATGTCTTCTCAGCACGTCTCCGTCCAAGACACCATGTGCAGATGGCACGAAGAAAACTCTGACCTTTGCCTCAATACATGGGGTTGACGTACATAAATATCACATACCTTACATTCTATTATATTGGGATATGGCAACGTAGTCTGCGATTCCGAAAAAAGCTACCAGACCGCGCCGAGTACGAGCTCAGAACTTTTCGCATTTCGCAACTCAAATCCAAGAAGATCTTGTGTTCATCTAGCTTCTGAGCTTTCCAAATGCTGTTGTTACATCAAAATATTCACTGGTCGGTCGAAAGATATATTCTACAACTCATGACCTGTCCACAATCCACGGTATGCAATATCATGCTCGCTGCATATGTTGCAAAAGCTGTCAAACCACTTCCCGTAATCAAGCGCCAAGGGGTCATTTTGCTCCGGAGTACACACGCATTGATACAAGCACTGACGTTGCCACAATCGCCACCCCGCTCACTTGTGGCGCATGCTAGTAAGCCAGCACGGTGATGGCGGTGGGAGGGACGCTCCGCCCCCGAAGCGACGGAAACTTGAGGTTGGGGCCCGTGACGTACCGTGCCAAATATCCAATGCATCATCTCGATGACTTCCCACGTTCGAGGAAATCGCTACATGACGTGACTTGTAAGAATGTAGCGACCAAACACGAGAGCAGTCAGACAGTCAAGCCCGTCACTTGATGGATTTCGTGTTCCAAGACAACTACCTGTTTTCGGCAACATGAAGGACATTTATGCATTGTCGAACTCCGTACCGGCAGAGTAAGCTGAGTACATGTATGGAATGTGATGGCGATGGAGGAGGGTTAGTGGGAAGCGGCCTTCTCGTATAAAGCGCCGGAGTTGCGTTCGTATGGATGAGGCGCCCGGGGATGTGCGTAATCGGTCAACAAGGAAACTTACGCATCCGGTCTACAAGGAGAAACACGGTCTCAGTATGGGCCGTCGCGTCAGCAGCGCAAGCAGAGCCTCATCGGTGTGGGAAGTCTCTGGGCCCTGGCGAAGGGTGAGGCGCCGCATCCAAAGAACGTTGAAGACGAAATGCCACTGGCTCTCGTCGCCGTCTTCACCAACATATCTTCATGTTTCCTGCCGCCGGTGATGGTTCGATATGTTACCTCACAAGCACATCGACTGGTAGTTCGTTTGTCCTGCACACGAGCCAACACCTTAAACGCGACCGTCCCAAGCCAGGTCGAGGCTCTCGATTGGACTGCATGCCCGAAGCGCCCTCTACTCTCATCCAAATCCGCACTGCGCCCCGCAGGCCACAGTAGCAACCAACTCTCTAATCGCCAGCCGTCTCTTGGCGATTCCTGCGTTCGATGTCTGACGGCGAATACAATGCAGTCACATTCAGATTCGAGCACAACCAAGCTAAGCAAGGTAAACAAAGATAGCCGCACTTCCCACACTGCCGTACCATAGATTTGTTATGTCAGACGGGAGTGCTTATGTATAGTGATGGTGTGAATGCCATGCACATGGAAGGAGTAAGCTGCAGTAAGCGTAAGCGATGTGAATGGTGAGACTAGAGACTAGGTAGTTGAGAGACGTTGACGTCGTGCAATGGAAGGTCATTCTGTCATGTTCATGCGTCCGGTGTGACCATCAAGTGTTGGAGACAGATCTCGGTTATCTCATTCGACCGGCATTGAGATAGCCGGTGGATCCCCCCAAGTGCTTTTTTTTTCTGGCAACTATCAGGCAGATGCCGTGCAGTCTTGATGCCCAGGAGGATATTCTCCACGTGTGAATCGGACGAATTACATGGCTGTGGACAAGGAACGTTTAGTTGTTGAGGGGGGGCCTAGGGCTGGAAGATTGCAGGACGCGATAAAAGCAGTGGAAAGAAAAAGCAAAGAACAGTGTGATTGGGCCGTACGAGAACCACCTTTGCATGCAGAAAGGTGTTGTAACACAAGGCCACTATGGTCTGATGTTTTCTCGTGTTCGCTAAGCGAGATGGCCCTCCGTTGAGTTGCACGTGCGATTGAGGTCATTGGACACATATGAGCATCAGGATACCTATGCCTCTTTCAAGAAAAGTAGGAGAGGATGAAACATCCTGGAAGTGGATCATTCATGATTGGCTTGGATTATGCAAAGAAAAATGGGTGTGTGTAGGAAGCAAGTTTCCGCAGTTGCAAATATCGACCCACCCCATTGGCGCTTCTCCAGATCAGAAGTTCTCCACCAATGTTTACGCGCGAACAAGCGAAGAGGATCGCATCGATCCCAGCGAGTGACGATATCCAAGCAATGGCTGTGCGACTGGGCGAATAGCAGGCGATGCGCGCAGTTTGGTGTTGGTTGACAGTCGAAAAGGCGTCAGCAGCTATAGCCTAAAGCATCAGCAAATCCTTCCGTGAGCAGCTTATCGTATGCTCGTCGGATTTGACGAAGAAGCGCGCGGCCAGAACGAGTCATGGATAGTCTGCTCTGGCTGGACCCTCGGGGGCCTGAGAGCCTGAGCCTTCAACGGCAGCACCCCAAGACGAATGCAGACCATGCTCCGGAGAAGAAAAACCTCGACAACGGTCTACCCTGCGTACATCATGGATGCGTGGCGCTCCTCTAGACGGGATGGCTTTTGCGGGCGCTGGGCGTCGGGACTAGCGGACACGACGTCT